CAGTTTTAAACTGAAAGAGGGTAGATTTAGATTAGCTATAAGGAAGAAATTCTTCCATGTCCGGGTGGTGGCCTAGGGTGCCCAGAGAAGCTGTGGCTGCCCCCTCCCTGGAAGGGTTCAAGGCCAGGTTGGATGGGGCTTTGAGCAACCTGATCTCATGAAAGGTGGGAAGGTGTCCCTGCCCATGGCAGGGGGGTTGGAACTAGATGATCTTTAAGTTTACTTCCAACTCAAACCATTCTACAATTCTATGAGGAGAGGAAAAAAAAAAAAAAAAAAAAAAAAAAAAAAAAAAGGCTTTCTGGCTTTCTTTTTGTCAAGGTCAGATATGTCTGCACAAAATCAGGATGAATATCCGAATATCCTGGCAGTAGATAGAACTGTTGAGCATCTTCATTTAACATTTACTACTAAGTCTATTTGGACTCAGGGACACACTTTGTTTTAGCAAAGCACATTAAGAACTGTGAGAGTACCATGCTCTCTGCCAGTGGGAGACAGTTGAGTCAATAGGAAATGCAAGAGTCCACCTCAGTTCTATTCCAAATATCCTTATTCAAGATTACGACTAACGTGTTTTTTTCCCAGTAGTTTTCAGAAAGTCAGTCTATGACCAACTCTAGTGGAAACAGAAGCCAAGCCCAAAGGACAAACCTGACAGTTTTTCCAGAGGCAGGTTAGGAACAAACAGCTTTCTCAGTCTCTGTCTCACTTTCAAGCATTGCTATGGGATAAGTGTACTCTGAAGGTGATGGCTACACCAATCAATCATAATCTCAATTTTTACTGAGGAATGTCTTTGAGCCTTTTTGTGTGATTTTGTTTCATGTGGCCACTTCTGTCACCTAAGTACTGCTTTCACCTCTTTCTCAGGTCATCTGCCAGACTACTGTTTTCCTTTCACACAATTACTTCTTTAAAACATGTTTATTTTATGAAGCTCAGAAAAGGAGTTACCAATGAATCATTCCTTTTGAAATACAGCTAAGCTTGCACAGCCCTTATCTTTTATGCCATGAAATTTTCCTGAGTGGTCAAATCATCTACCTACCAAACTGTATGCTGTCAGTACTGTTCCTTATGTTGACATACCTTTTAAACATTTTAGATAAAGTTAAGGAGTACACTTTAGTAGCATAAACCTTCTGAAATACCTCAGTACCATTGTTTGCAGTTTTGCTTTGCTGGTTTATCATCCTCCTAATCAAGAGACAGCAGCAAAGGGTGAAGTGTCCAGTTACTCCTCCTATCAGAGAGACATCCAGACAGCTCTGCTCTATTACTTACTCTGCTAAAACAATCAAGATCCTCATATTTCTATACTTTCACACAGATAAGTTCAACTTATCTGAATATCTAAAATGTCTCACAACATCTGGAACAAGAGTTCTAGAGAAAAAGTAACTTGCCTTACTTTTGAAGAAATGGTCATTTTGAAGAAGTGATCCAACACTACAGAGGGTAAGGGGAAGTGTAACTATTCCCACCAAAGAGCAGGACTGTCCTCCATAACTTGAAACACCAGTGCATTGTGGAGTCCTCATTAATCATTAGTGAGAGAAGCAAGAAAGACTTGGTTTCACCAGCATCTAAACCCAAAAAGGTAGCCTTTCTATTCAGATGTAGATTTAGCCAGATTGATCTATGCTTTTGTAATCCCATGCTTGGATCAGTCCAATTTGCTCTTCCTTGGTCTGACCCAGATGCCACTCCATAACCTACAGATGGTTCATCGTACTGTATCCCATCTGTTAAATAGAACACAGTAATGAGAATACATCACACCAATATTCCTTCACTTCTCTTTGGTTTTCATGCTAATCCTGAACACAGCTGAAGGTCCTGGTCCTTTCAGTGGTCCATGACTAAATCATCTAAGAGAAGACCTCTTCTTTTTGCTTCTTGTAGAAGATGGATACAACAGATTTGTTATGCCCAAAAGGTGTCAGATTCAAACTTGAATATATGGGAGAGAGATCTCCAATCTTCAGCACTCAATTCTACCACATACTGTGTTTTGCTATGTTTAGGTTGTGATAAAAGATTTCTCTCTTCTTGTGGGTAGTTTAGCTACCAATGATATCACCACAGCACTACATTCTTAAATGAAAATTTTAGCTGTGTTGTTCATAAGTAAATACCATAGACTGGAAGGAGAAAGAATTCTGTTTTGAAAGGCTTACTAAGTTTAGCATATTATGCTTCGACACCACAGCATATACAGTAGTTATAGAAAAAAAAAATCTTATAAATCTTAACTAATAACACAGCAGTATTAATAATATTTATGAATAAGGACATTTATATGATATTGAAAATTTGATTCCCTCAGTCATATAATTACATTAAATCAACGCAAGTTTGACACTTAAAGAGGAGTTGTGTATAGGTGGTCAGTATCTGGAAGGAAAGTACTGTCCTCTGAAAACTCAATATAGTGCAGTCAAATTTTTAGTTATTTTCTTAAACAGAAAAAATTAAAACCCAACCTCACCCTAAAGGTGACATTTTTCTGCAAATATACTTTTTATGTGGAAAGGCAGTCCTATTTCTCAGGAAAAGATGGATGATAGAAAAATCTTTAGCCAGATTTCTGGGTAAAATCTTGGCTTTCTTGAAATCAATAGATTTTTTTTTGGTAATGAATTCCATTAAGTAAGAATGAAACTCCTGAAATTTAGGAGAGAGCAATTTTCATGCAGTATTGAATCTAATTAGTGATTGTAACTCTTTGTTTTGCTTTTCATTTATGTCATTCTCTACTTTTGTGAAACACAATGTGCAGAATAAGAAAAGGCTAACAAATGCTCTAGAACCAATCAATGTTATGAAACTAATAATAATACAATATGAGCATGCAAGCTTATGTGGTGTCTTTCATGTAGAAGTATCCCAAGGCACTTAGTAACAGAAACTCAATAAGGAGTGCAAAAGTGCTTTGTCAGATAGGATAAGCCAGGGGAAAAGGGGAAATTAATTGAACATGGATTTAAATTTCTCAGCCAACACAGAATTTAGAACCTTGGTCAGAAAAGACAGTGGTTCCAGTATCTGCATCCAGGGAACACAACAGACTATTTCAGTCTTTAATTTTTGAGGAATGTTCAATAGTTTTTCCACAATAATATGGGTACGAGTAATAGGAATGCAGTTTGTAGGCTACATTTCCAAAAGGCAGTCCCTGCCTCTCTTCCTCTAGTTTTTCATAAACAAATAGATTCATAAAAGCTGATCACCTCACTTGTATGCCAGTAAAGACACTTGACTGCGGAGATACCAAATATGGGATTTGGTACTGTAGAAATCACAAATAGCTAGTTAAGGACTGGGCAATGACTTTATTGGCTGCTTAGCTCTCTGTTTTAAACCAATGCATGTTTCCCTATAGAGGTAGTAGGCACCTCTGACAAAGAGTAATTTATTACACAGTAGTTCCTGAAGTAGCATGTATTTCATGAGGAAAAGCAAAATTGCTTGGGAAAAGCTATAGTAATTGATAATGTATAAATTACAGCTTCCCTGATGTTGCAGAAACTTGCACATCCTCTATTTTTCAAACATTTTTCTCTTAGGAACACATGGACCATCCTCATTTTTGGATGACTGCCTCTTCGGATTAATGCATCCTTCTGGTGCATAAATTAAGGATGCACAGAGGAAAAAGGAGAAGCACTAAATCTCAGGAAACTGAAGCCATACAGAAAAATGAGACTCACAGTAGAGCTGAATGAGTGACTCACCATGAATAATTAATCCAAAAAGTTAGCCTCCACTTCTGTTCATGGAATATCTATAAGAAGCTTATAATTTCCCCAGTTTTACTATAAAACAAAACCTTAAAATATTATGTGTCTTCACTGCAAATAATTTCCTGTAAATATTTCTTGTCCTATCTTAAGAGAGACTGGCATTTTGATTGATTAAGTAAATCACATGAGGACGTTTCTGTTCCCTAGATGGATGAACCCACAAACACAAACTCCAGATGCCTGCTGTGGTTTAGAAAGCTGCTCAGTAGCATGTGATGGAAAGTGAGTGTAGGCCAAAATAAGTTAATTTAAGAAAAACTCATAAGATTTTTTGCAAAAATCTTTTCACTATTTTTATTGCAGCTGTAGCCCATTGCAATTTTGTTTAATAATTCTAGGAATCTGCAGCTACCTGTAAATATTTTCCCTGGGGGATGTGAAGAGTGATCTTATCCCAGAGAAAACTCAAATTTGAAGGTACATGTTCTTTTTTGAGGATTTGGTACTGAATAATATGCCAGTCTTTCCAGAGTTTATTCTAAGCTCTTGGACCAGTTATTTGGAGTTGATGCACACATTAGTAAGATTAGAGTGGTAATGTTAAAATTTTACTAGATTACTTGTGATCTGAAATATCCTTATACAATTTATGGTTTTGAATGGACTGTCATGCTTTATGCAAATTTGAGAAGTACTCTCCACTACTTCAATAAAATATGAAACCTCAGGAAGTACTCGAGGAAGAATGAGGCATTAGTGCATTTAGAATTTACAGTAGTTTACAGAGACTATCAGTTTTATAAAAGCCATCTAAGAAAAACTTTTAAATGTTAATATCTCTTAGAACGTTCAGATATTGAAATACTATAATATTTATTACAGGAAAAAGAAGACTGAAGACTGATCAGAAATTATACCCTTTTGTTTCATGCCCTGACACAGGCTAAAGATAAAGACAGAATACTAGAGTCATGCCCACTTTGCATTAGTTTTTATTATGCTTGCATAATTATTGCTAACATTTTGCTTTGATTTTTAGTATATTTAAAAAGTGAATCTCATCAAGTACCCTTTTCTCAGATCTATGATAAATCTCTACATAATGCATCACTTGCTGGATTCTCTATTTTATAGCAATAGCATTGATATGGATTTATAAATATGATCAGAGAATAAAACTGAAAAAATAAGCAATGTGTATAAATATGATCAGAGAATAAAACTGAAAAAATAAGCAATGTGTGTTCTTACCTGAGCTCCTGAGCTATAGAATCCACTTGAACTGTTAATAAAAGCAGGAAAGAAAGAATTAGTTTACAGTTCCAGACTTATGCTTTCTGTAAACTTGCACCTGCCTACCTGTGATGACAGAGGAGTGGCTATCAAAACACAGGTGATTATTTCATGGTCACCACAGGGTTGTAGACACTAGTGGAAAATGTTAACTCAGCTTATAATTCTCACAGTTATTTTAGGATGCATAAAACCTGGAATATGATGTTCAGTAGAACAATAAGAAAAATAATAAGAAAAAATAAAGAGAAAGCACTTTTTAAAATTTAAAATAGAATGCTGTTTCTGAAATTTAATTCAATTTAGGAATGACGGAGGCTGGTGTTTACAAATACCTAACCCCGCCAAGGATAGACAGCATACTGACAAAGCCAACAGGTGGTTCTAAGGATTACTCATATTGCACAGGCAACTTCTGTTGTTTGCACTTATGGAAAATGTTCCTGATATTTTAATTCCTATAGATGTATGTGCATGTGTATAAAAAATATAAAGAAAATCCATAAGTTTTAAAATATGTTGCTTTTTGAGCAAAAAGAGTATGAATCACCTATTAAATACAATTAAAGTCTGCTAAGACAATCAGACTGTTTGAACTCACAGTCCTGACTGACAGGGAAGATGTACTCTAATGCTGAGGTGTGAATAACTTCCCTATTCAATAACTTTATTTAAGTCCTCTGTTCTTGTAGTTATGGAATATATACAGATTTTACATTAATTTCAGAGAACATTACTGAGGGACGCATCAAAGTTTTAGTATGACAATGCTTATGTTTTTTAGAAAGGCTTGTCTGTGTTTATCCCCTTGTCTGTGGGCCGTTTGTGCCACTCCCCCACCCTTCCTCTGTCTTTTCCTAAGTAAAGTTTTCACCTTTTTGGTTATTTGAAACTAGAGAACAGAGACAAACTACACATTAATTTTTCATTCTGACCACAGTTTGAAGCTAAAGGCATGATACTAAAAATGCAGAACTACTGAGTTGTGAAAATGAATCAAATTAGTCTGTTTTGCACAATCCTAAGAGTGTACAATTCATGTTACAATCAGAGCGAAGGATGGGTACTTTGCACCTCTGAAAACAGTCATAAGAAGAATGTTGACAGGGCAGGCAAAACTTTGACATTTATTTTTAAGTATCTCCATTTTTCACTCATTATCAAGAGACACAAAAAGTGTTACGAATTAAAATAAAAAGTTATTTTCCTGGAAGGGCTGTATTGCTAGTCAATCATGCTTTCCAGATGTTGAGATCATTAAGGGCCTGTTTATCTCTCAGTACTGCATTTCCATCTGTTCCTTACAAAAAGAGAGGAATAGATGGGAAATACAACTATGTCATAACTTTGCAAAATTAAACATGAGCACCAGTACTTTATAAAAGCACAGGATTCTCCTCTGTCACATACACCTGCGCCTTTTGATTAAAGTAAATTTAATTCTGTGCCATTTACACAGCTTATTTACAGATAATTAATGGCAATAGACAGAAAAACATTCAGTTGTCTGAGACAAAGTTTTGTACATTACTCTGAAAGCACTCATTCAATATTGTCTAGCTCTACTTCCTATGGAAAATCTTTGTTTACATAATAAAAAGCATAACCTTTATTTTCTTTGAGAAATAGCTCAAAGAAAATAGCATACAGTAGGTTTTTTTCTGCTTTTCTTTAAACCATAGCTAATAACATCATGCCTCTTAATGTCAGCAGTCTGTGTCCTGCCTTGATTAAAAAAGCAGCCCTAAGGAAGCTACACACTCTCTTACTGCACATTAGGGACTATGCACAGGAACTATCATATTTCATGGTGTGCTGGGCACAGGGTCGTGGAACATGCTTGCTAACTCACCCTTGGTTCCTTTTGAGCGTGTGCGCAGCTTTTTATTTTCCCCATCTGCATCCATCTGTAATATTAACACAAAGTCTTTAATTCATTCCTTTTACCATTGAGAAAAAGAAAAGAAAAAAAAAGTCTCTAATGCTTTTTTTTCACATTTCCAAAGGCTAGACAGTAATAGAAAGAAAAATAATCATGCCTTATTAATCTTGTCAAAGAGATAAAAAGCCATCTGTGAATATCTAGTAAGTACCTAGGAGATACCTTTAATGATACAGATTTATTTAATAAAGTGATGGTTATGAGAGACTCAGTAAGGTTTAATGACAAGGTACTACAGGTGTTAGCTGAAGGCATAAGGTTAGAAACCTTAGGCTGTATGAACACTGCTTTTAGCATCCACCTCCTGGAAGAAAAGGTCCCAGAAAACCACAGTGCCTACAGGCACTCTGCATCATTGTTGTAACTGAAGCATATCTTAATAGCTGTGTTGGAGCCTGCATTTCTGACAACTTCATCCTTAAAACGTGCAACCCTCTTGCTTGAATGTGCATAATTGCACATGTATAGCTTTGAAATACTTCACCACTTAATCAACAACTTCTTACAGATGTTTTGATCAAGGAGACAGCTACAGATTCATATGAGGTTTTGGGAGAATGTAGTGTCCAGGTTTGTATTCCACATTAAACAAACGAACAAACAAACAAACAAAAACCACCAAAACCATCCCTCCCCCCCACCTCCCCCCCAAGTCAGCTGTTTCTGTAAGATTTCTAACTGAAATAAGGGAGACCTTTCAAGATCAACTGTTCTCATGACACTTTTGGCAACGTCCAAACCGGCACTGGAAATATGTACCTTCTGGTCTTGGATCTGGCCCAGACCCATAACTGTGGGGGCAGGTTTTCATTCCATGGATTTTATTACAAACCCCTGAAATTCAAAGGGATTAAGATTTCATGTTCTGGTGTGGAGAGCTGCAGTGACATACAGCAGATTGTACAACAGTGTCATTTTGACCATGTCCAGGGAGTCAAATTCCTCTTCTTTCTAAAAGTAGCTCTTAATTTTTATGTAAGGAAGACTCTCTCAGAAGGATTTTTTGTCTAAACAAAATATTTGGAACTTTGGAGTTCTTCTTCAGTGTCTGTTAATATCTTGTTATCTATCTTTGCTTTGAATCTCAGTTTCCCTGTTTGTAAAATGGTGATGATCAAACATACTGTGGATGAAGCAACTCCCATGTGCTTCTGCAGATCAATATGCAGGAACAAATGCAGATACCAACATCTATTTTATATAACTGTGTTAGGCAATAGGTAGATGCATTCTGTGGATGCCTATGTGGTAGATACCATACTGTGGATGCTTATGCCTGGCATCTTTCCCTACAAAAGATTGCAAGATAAAAAAAAAAAAAAAAAAAAAAAAGATCCTGTCTATTATTTCACTCTTCCTTTCTGAGCATCAGCAGAACTGATTTGCCCCACTGAGGGAAGATGCAAGAAGCAATCTTTGAGCTTTTTCCATTTATAGAGTTTGAAGATCTGAGGATGCTTTATTTTTAGCCTTATATGACTCAGAAAACTGAGATTCTTTGAAGGTCTTATCTGGAAGAACATTGCAGAATATAACAAAATTGACCTGAGAAAGAAAAAGAGTAAAGTCAGCCTTTCGAGGGGAGAAAAAGCATTTCTTTAATTTCCTGGGGTTTTTTCTGTTTGTTGTTATATATGCTTGTACATTATAGACAGCTACTGGAATCAAAATACCTATTTGCAAGAGAGAACACAAGCATTTGAAAAGGGTATTCGTGTACTCGAAGAAGCCTAATTCTAGAACACAGGTTAGTGATATCTGAAATGAACGTATAAATTGATGGAAATGCACCTCAAATCCTGACAATGATATCTTTTCTCTGTTTAAATTTACATCTGATGTTGATTATTAGCAGGGAAGGAACATAAGAGGCTTGTGTTTATGTAGTGGGGCTGATGGCAGCCTTTACTTGCTACTATCCTTAAAACCTGGAGAACGAGTTTTTGCAATGTGACTGCAATGGTAATGGGAAACATGGCTCTGTTCTCTGATGCTGAGTTGTGATTGAAGGCACTGACCTGCCATAGACTTATAATAGGGGAGCAGGTGTGGCAATGATGGACTTTAATTTCCTTTAATAAACCTTTTATGTGCCACACTTTTACTGCCATTCTATGCTCTCCAAGGTCCTGCACATAATAGGTTCATTACTTTTGATTACTATAGTCTATTGAGACAAACAACTCCAGAACACACTATATATTATGTTCAGTTAAACCAATATAGACTATTTATCCACTGTGCATTATTTCACCTGCAACTCCACAGACAAAATTAACAACAGCTCCTGTAAGCTAAAACTATTAAAACCACTGGTACTCCTTTGTCATCATTTCATAATAAATACCACACCAATCACAGTGCTGCTCTTTTAATTATGAAACAAAAAGTGTCCACTGCTTCTACTGAACAGCAGTTACTTTGGTCTAAATAGCACGTTGCATTTTGATGAATATTTAAAAATTGCACAATGAGTTTAAGCCAACAATAAAATCAATGCAGGTGATTTTTCTATTGATTTTCTTTCCTTGTAATAATTTGAAATTATGAGAGATGTTTAATCAACTCAAACCTAAAATTTGTAGGCCTATTTATCCTGGTGCATACCACATATTAAAATAATCATCATGTCTGTATTGTATAAAAAACACCTTAATTTACAAGAAGTCCCTGCATAACTTGAAAATTATACAAAAGTAACTGAATAAAAATGTAAAATCTTTTAAGTGTGTCAGCAAAAAGGTATCTCTTGCTCTAAATTTAAATGTAGTATCTTTGGGTTTTGATAGTTCTTTCAGAGACTGATTGATACTAATAAAAGTGAGCAAAGTTTCTCACTTCTAATTTTTGTCTATATAGTGATTATTTTACATGAAATTACAGCCACAGATGGTCATCAAGAAGCATTCAAACTTTCAAATTACCCATGGAACAACAAAAGAATTAAACTTTTAAGTGAGAAATCCCATCCAGAGCTTTTAGAGGTTATAGTTATCAAGGCGTTAATTTGAGAGACATATCTCATTACTGCTGTGTACTGTAAAGATTGGATGGATTCTGGAAGGTGCTTCATGCTCTTAAAGCCAGGGATCGTCAGCCATTCCTCCCAGTACATATGTTATCTTGAGACAAGAAGACATAAGGGATAAATAGAACGCTCATGCCTGCACAACATCCTTGCACAATATCTCATTACTTATTTTTTTAATCATCAGGACCATTGGGATAATATCTAAGTGCTAGCCAGGAAAATTTTATTGGGAGTTATAGTCCCGTATTTTTTAAGGACAAGCTTCACAAAAGTAACAAGAGATTAGTGGAATTATTTTCACTTTATCTTTGTGTATTATACCTAGATTCTCTGATTTGATGGGTTTTAAACCAGTCTAAACATTTTCTTTTCAAAATTAGTTGAAATTAGTTAATGAGTTCAAAAGGAATTAGTGGGAGATAGACAATCAGAAACACAGTGACAGAAGAGTAGCAGCTATGCAGTCCTAAATAATTAGGCAAGCAGGCTAAGAAATAAATGCTTGTCTTAGAATTGCTTCAGTTATGCCCTATTTCTGTGATTTGGAAATTTACTGATGTTCTTGATGCTCTATTATTTTCTGAAAACATGTTCCAACAAATGTCCCTAAGTTTATGAATACTTTCTGCCTGACTGTGAATTTCAGTTTGATCCGCCCTCCACCCTGCTTTCAATATTGGTTGAGACTTAAGTGTATATCAATATCTAGATCCCAGAAAACTGACTGGATTCACTGACGTTACCACAAATTCTGCTTGGCTGAAACTGAAGTAACTTGCTATGTGACTGCTACACAGTGTTCGTGTTTCTCCTGATTAATTTACTGGTGGAATAGCAGCAATCATCCCTTCATCCCTTCTGAGCAAACTATTTCAGAGTTCGTGCCTACAGAAGCCAAATGTTATTTCTTCTGTTTGTACCATCCCACTGCAGTCAGTGGACTCGAGAGCAGCACCTGGAAATACTTCCCTGAGTGAGAGAATCAGGATTTGGCTCTGAGTTTGATTTTTTGTGTGCCTGGAGTCTATCTGTGCACATGTGCATGAACTGATATTATAATGGGATCCATGAATATGACTAACAGCTGAAAATAGGGCATGTGCAATAAATGATAATATTAGCAATAATAATAAATAATAATAATAATAATAATAATAACAACTTCTATTTCAGTTGCCTTGCACATTTTTAATTCTGAATTTCAGACAGTAAATTGATACTACTGTCTTAGTAAGAGAGTTCTACATCATATTACTCTGAAATAAGCTATGACTTGGGGAAGCCAATGTTGTTGACATAGGTAAAAGTGAAATACACTTCTTGGAAAGAGCTATGCACTTTCTAATTTCTATTGTAATCTTTGTACAAGCATGATTTTCCCAGAGTGGGTTTTGCACTGCTGGAGCGGCAATCTGTTTCTTTCTGTGTAACTAGGTAGAGGAAAAGAAATCACCAGTTTATCTAGAGGTAAGGAGTATAAAGGTTGACATTTTGTTGTGATTTTCCAATTAAAAGTTATGTCTGATTTTCAGAACAAATTTTGGCAAACTTCTCTAGGACAAACCTTAACTGATTTTGAGAGGTCCGAAAAAAGAATAGCCCTTCTCTACTATTTTTAATTTGTAAACTCGAGTTTATATAGAGGCAACAGCTACATCTGTCACTAAACTAATGAACTTAGCCAGAAAAAAAAACCCTCATGATTTTTAATGCACACAAATCCATCCTCAAGTCTCAAACACAAGCCACAAACTTCAAAGTTGAAGTCAGACACTGCTAAGCACTACAAATATGTCTGTGTTGTACTGTGCTCCCAAGGTGACACGATGCTGTGTGTGCCTCTCTCTACAATAAATAGTAACCTCAGAGCAAGCTTTTCAGTGCTTTTGGTACTCATATTTTAATGTTTCTTTTCAATAACTCATTTAATAATC